ATACAGAGTCCTGGCCCCCAAATTCTCCCTAGAAACATGCCCGTGACATTTCCTTGCAGACTGGTAAGAAGGTATGGAGGAATGCGGTCCTGAAAGGCCCACTACGACTGTGGTTAGGTCTCAAAGAATAGATGTTTTCTACTGAAGAATTAACCTTGATTAGACGTTTATATTTCATTGATACTGAATGTGTAGAAGAATAGTGTCCATGCATGGGTGTGCTAACAGCAGGTGGTCACCAATACCAGCTGTTCATAAATTCAATATCAGACCCATGTTCCTGAATAGATATTCCAGCACCTTTCCACCATCTGTCTGGATTGGGACAGTTGACAAAAGCAATCCTATAGTGAAAATCCATTTCACAGGCTTCATAACTTTCTTGCGGTACAGCAAGACCTACACAGAAGCGACCATTGCTAGTTTAAACCGAGGATTCTACTGGAATTCATATGATGAAAGATCCTAAAAATGTCTGAAACTTCTGCACTGTAAATTGAAGGTGGGACTAATTGGCAGTAGGTATTTATTGCCACCTTCATCACATTAAGGATAGATTAATCAGCAGAAGATGTTTTTCCCAGAAGGAAAAGTGAGCTTTAACAAGGCAACTAGTAAGGCAATTAAATTCACTGAGCAAACAGACTGCAAGACCAAGCATCACTTCATGGAAGAAACAGGGTTACAGTAAGAGCAAGGTTTATCTTTTTAAATTCAGCTGAAACTGAGAATAAAACCAGGACAAAGCTATTGAATATAAAAACACTGTTCTCTACTGCCAAGCCTGTAACAGAACAGATAATGCAGATCCCTCAGCTTCTTGCTGGAACACAAATGCTCCCCTTTCTGCTCTTGGATAGCCAAGCCTAAGCTTTTCAGAAAGAAAAGAGAACCTCAAGCAAGGATAATGCTCTGGAAGTAAATTTGTTGCTGTTAATTTTTTAAGGTAAACAGCCAGTTACAAGTCCATGTCAGACATTGCTAAACTGAAATAGCATTCCACTAAAAGACATTTTATCATCAGAAAGGTTAATTTTCCTAGTAATCAACGCTGCAAAGTGTTTAATCTGTTGCCTTAAAGTCACACAATACAACAGAAAATTTTTACAAGGCTACTCATGCACCCACAGAGGCACAGCCAAATACCTCCTGTTATTAACACAGGCATATACTTTTATTTGCATGGTTTTTTTTGTTTTTATTTGTATTCTCGTATTTCCATGGGATCCGGGATAAGTCTCTCTTATCCCGGATAAGAAAGCATCAGTTGCATCTCAGCTCTCTAGATCGCAGGAGACAGGAGCTGTTCCAATACATGGGTAGTGGCAGATTTCCATGTGTTCCCAAGTGCACCGGGTTACCCGATCCGGATTATACTCAAGTCTTCGGTGCTTTGAGACTGCCACCTTACGTTGTGGAATGGAATAACATGCTCCCTTTGTGCAAAACAATACACTTCGGAAGCTTTCAGTTCCCATTCAGGGCGCAAACTACACAGACCGTTTACCCAGCTTTGAACTTTCCCAGATTTTTAGGGTCCCGATCTTTTACACACACGCAAATTCGCTATCTGCTTCCCCTCTGCAGTAGCAATGCAATCCCTGCGATTGCAAGTGAATTTCTGCAGCCAAAGCTGAAAGACAAAATGAAGTTATCTTTGTCCTTTAATACTCTGCCTCAGACTTCTGCTGTTCCCCAAGAAACCTGTTCCACCTTGCAATTTAGTGACTGCTGATCTAGTTCTCAATAAATCAGAAGTACAGATATAGCTTTTTTCAACTACAGCTTTTGGTTTTGGGGGGGGGGGGTCTATTATTAAACTTACAGGGGTATCTTGCATGCAGTTGCAGATGCAACTGCAACCAGTGCATGTAATTTAAGGACTGAAAGGCTGTCACTGTTCAAAAAATGAACGACACTAAAAAGAAACAAAACTGACCACTCTCCTTACAGGAGTCAACCTACATTTAGAAGTTATGTTTCAGATTTCAGAAGCACAAGAAGGGTCTTAAGGGCCTTGCTGTCTTTTTCTTAATCCATGGGTCTTCCTCAACCTCTTATTCCCAGTTCTCGCTTTGTTTGTTCTTAAGAGACAGACACAGCACATGACAGAGGCAATCACAGCAGCATGCTTGTCAATCTATTCACAGTTGGGTGTTAATGGCCTGTGCCCTAATGCATTTTCCATTTAGTTCTCTGGTAAACTAAAGAAAGGATGCAGTGAAGTTTATTTAGACAGTGATCTGTCACTACCATTGCTTTAATGCCACCATTACTAAAATGAGAGGTACCACAGACTCATACACAAGCCTTAAATTTCCAGACACCAGAGTGACCGAATGATAACACAATTTCTTAAGCCAGCTTGGCTGCAGAGGGGTCACTATCACCATTTATTTCAGTCATTCCACAGCAACTCCTCCCCAAAGCCAAACTTACTTATGTTTTCAACTGTCACGTGCTAACCCATTCATGGCAAAATGAACACAGGAGCCTCCTTTGTGCCAGCTGGCACACAGCACTAGTAAAATTCAGAAAGGCCCCTGACCACCAGTGCCATGCAGAGTCCTGTACACTCCCACTCTTGGCTTTCATTGTCAGCCCTACATGGCCTCCTTCCCTCTGCTCACGTAATCATTACAGCAGGACCAATGCACTAATCTGGATGTAAGTGTTGAGAAAGTTTATGTGTACACTTCAAAGGCTAATTGTCAACACATTACTTTCTTGCATGCTAAGCTGACACTGTTAAAAACACACAAGTCTGATTTGTGAGTCAGGTTTTCCAGGTGAATCACAAAAGTAATTAAGATAAAGACTATTTTTAATGTTTACCTAGGTATGACTCCCCTTTAGAAAGTAACCATATTATGTATTAAATATCACCTCAACATTCCTTCATCACTCAGAACTCCAGTGATGAATACAGGTCTCTCTGTATCCAGCAGTAACCAGCAAAAAAAGCCAACTGACTGCTTCAGAATTATGCTTCAACTGACTTAACACACAGTTCTACTACTGTTAATGCCCAACTTGGATCCTCAGTCAGCAAACTCTTACAGTAACAAAACTTTTCTGTCTTCTCTACTATAAAATGATTATAATCAACTTTATGGATCATTCCTCAGAAAATATGAATGGTACTTCTAACTTCAGTCTTCCAAGGAAAAGGAAAAAATAAACATCTTCCAATGGGTTATCATGTAAAAACACAGCCAGCCTCAAAGATCAATGACTCATGCTTTTGTTTCTGATATATAGACACTATGAATATTCTGCTAAGTGTAGAGTAGATCTACTTTAATACACTGATTATAGAAATGAAGCTCCAAGGATGCTAGGAGGGCAAAAGCATCCACCACATATAACTGATGTTTACATATCAACAGCAAAGACAAATTGTTACTTATAAATTGGTTTCTATTAAGTATTTAATAGCACGATACAATCTTAAAATCATAACCTTGAAAGCATGTGCTTTTATAGACATTTCCACACTTATCTGCCAAGGCATTCATTCAAGTGACTGATCACTAAACTGTGAATTTAGAATTCTTTGGTTTGCTTGAGGAACAAGCACACAGGTTGTAAATTAACGCTCACATGAATGCACTGCACTTAAGCCTAAAGCAGCTCTCAAAGCAAATAAACAGAAAATATTACTAGCACATGAAAGCAAATGCAGGCGATTGTGACACAAATACATCAACCTGTAAGTGAAGCCTGTTTTGTCCACACCACAACAGATCCCAGTTGCGTTCCTATTTTACTTTTTCCCCATCATACTGATGCACACAAGATCAACACTAAACAGATAATGAATCATGACTGCTGACTGACACCAGCTCACAGGAGTAAACACTACACAAAAATGGCACAGATATCTCCAATTTTTAAGAAGGTATAAGAATAGTTAAATCCATGACACTAAAGGCATTTTTAAGGGCTGTGCAACTCAGTGGTTGAAGCACCACTGCTATTGCTCTTCCACTCACACAAAATTACTGTCGTCAAACCATTTTATTAGACCAGCATCCTTTGAAGACACCTGGGTATTGTATCTTCAAGCCTACTAGCAGCTAGTTGTGAGACCTAATACATTCCTATAGCTACAGTGTTTCCCAAACTACAGCTTTGCTGCAAAAGAATACGGGTAGGAAACTAAATATCCTAGCTAGAGTTGCTGGACTGGACAGCTGAACTACTGACTGGATTAACGCAACAAATCAAGGTATTTACAAGGACCTCATGACAAGAGCATCTTTATTCTGGTCTAACACAGCACTGAGTACCCGGCTCCAAGTCTGTCCTTCTCTAGTTTTGACAAAGCAAGTTTGTAACAACAAGGCTGGCTTGCTGTTACAGCTCTGGCCTCTTGGATCCTGCAACAGCCTGCTCTGGGCTAAAATTGCTAACTCTTTGGATTGCCTTGTAATAACTCTTTTTCCACAATTGCATTCCAAACACCTTTAATCTGAACAGAAAGCTTTAATAATGAAAGAGACTCAAGCACATGCAGAAAGAAAGGCTACACACTGAAATGCTTAAGTAACCAGACAACAGACTGTATCACAGGGATGCTTTGAACCCATAGTCTTCCATTTTTGTTACACATGATTCTTAACAAGGACATTTTAAACAACTGTTTTAACTCAATGGCTTCTTCTCAAACTGTACAGGAAGAGAGCACCATTATCAGACTGCAGTTGGCTGTCCCTTGAAGGCCTGTGTGTATTAGTAAGTTAAAAGGAAATACATTACCTGGGTATGAATGGAAAGAAAAAAAAAAAAACGAACAACAAAAACAAAAAACCTGAAAACAAACCAACCTCCTTAACATAATATTGCTCAATTAAAAAATTTATTCTTTCCATTATAGTTCTCCCAGCTCAAACTCTCCTAACATTATTAAGTTTAGAAGTACTTCTATTCACATGACATCCAACTCATGACTGACCACAGAAAGCCTGTAGCCAAAGCACAAAAGCCTTTTTATTTACCTTTTGCTCTCTTCCACTGCTTTGTCCAAATGCTGGAAGATATCTTGGAATAAAATACAGCTGGAGCGACTATTTATGTCATAGCCATATCCTCTCTTCCAGTACTGCTTCAGGTCATTCAGGTATTCCAGTACCTAGTTAGAATTCACAGGTTTTTACTAGTGCACAAAGGGAAAATAAAAACAAGCCTTAAAACCCCCACAAACTGGAGCAACGACACCTCCACACACTGCACGAAATCAACAATTCTTTGACACAAACACTCCCAACCAACCAAACATCAAGACTCCAGTTGAAGCTGCTTTAATATAAAAACAAACAAAGACTAAAGAGCCACCAAATTCAGCATCTTGTCTCTGATCACGCTTACAATCAGGCCTAGGGAAAGCAGCAGGCATACTTTCCCAGACTCCACTAACTTTCAGCTCTGGATTTTGAGCCCCAAGGTGGTTTTCTACAAATTTAATAGACTTTGGTGGATTCTCTCCCACAATAACCCAATATCTCCTTTGAACCTACCAAGTTTTAGCATTAATAGTACCCTGCAGCTTGGTTACACACTGTGTTAAAAAAAAACATATTGCAAACCTGCCTGCTGCTAGCTTTATGTAGTACCTGCTAACTACCGCACATGACAAGACCACCACTATCCACTGCTTTTTGAAGCATTTCTGATTTCACATGATGAAGGTCAAAGTTCTTTAGCTTACTTAATCATTCTTCAGATCAAAGCAATCTCATACTTTTAACTGAGTTTGTCTATTTCTATGTTCTAGGGATGTGCACACATCTCAAGACAGAATTGTGCCTTGGAGTTATGTAAGAGCACACCATGCACTCCTTGTTCTCTGCTCCATTTCTTATGACTCCTAACATTAAATTTGTTTGATTTTTGCTCATTATCTTACTGTAGCTGAGCCAGCGTTTTCATGGATATATACCATCAGAATTTCACTTCTCAGTGGTACAATTTATCTCAGATATCACCAACTTGTATATGAAGTTTTAACTTCTTACTCCATACACATCACTCCACACTGAATGCCATGGGCCCCTGTACAGATATGGAATTCACGCTCACAAGGTCCCCCTGGACAGCCTTTCAATTCTTATTGCCCCAGATTCTTATTATCTTAAGTACCTTCCTATAATCAGAAGTACAGGCCTCAGCAGAAGTCCTCTTTGAGAGGATAGCATTTACCCCTAACTCTATTGCCTACCCTTTAGGCAACCACTTACTGAACATCACAGGGAACATCAGGTACTGTTTGAAACAAGAGGAACCATCATAAGTCTCATTTATCTGGCCTCTACTAGGTTTATTAACAGGCGTTACATTTAGAAATCTGATAAGTGCCTAAAAACATAGAAAAAGTCTTAAAGGACCCAGAAGACCTCATCTGATGTCTTCCGGAATCAAGGCATTTTATCTCATGATTATCCTTTAGAAAACAAATCTGTCTAGAGCATTTCAAATGTTAGAGAAATAAAAGCATTACATGAATTAAGCACAACAGGAAAGGACATTTTTAATCAGACATATCAACACTGCACCAGTACTGAAGTCTGAATAAAGAAGGAAATTTCAGTCTTGCTGCTCAATTAGTCCAAAGCTCTTTGGAGACTGTCCTGGGTCCAGCAGTAACAGTCATTTTTCTCCTTCTCAGCAGCTGGTGCAGTGCTGTTTTTGACTTTTGGCCTGGGAGCAGTGCTAATAACACCAATGTTTCTAGTTGCTGCTAAGTAACATTAACTCTGACCAAGGACTTTGTGAGCCTCATGCTCTGCAAGGGAGGAGGGGAAGCCGGGAGGAAGCAGAGACAGGACACCTGACCCAAACTGACCAAAGAGGTATTCCATACCACAGCACGTCATGCCCAGGATGGAGAACTGGGGGCAGTTACCCGGAAGGGCTAGATCACTGCTCAGGTTGGGCTGGGTACTGGTCGGCGGTTGGTGAGCGGTTGTACTCTCTCCCCTTGTTATTCCCCTTAGCATTATTATTATTGGTGGTAGCAGTAGTGGTTTGTGTTACACCTTAGTTACTGGACTGTTCTTATCCCAACCCGTGGGAGTTACATTCTTTCAATTCTCCTTCCCATCCCTCCGGGAGCAGGGGGGGAGGAAGGAGGGGGAGTAAGAGAACAGCTGCGTGGTTTTTCTGAATTACTGACTGGACTTAAAACCACAACAGAGGCCAAAGTGCTTCATTATGTTGAGGAATTATAGGGCACACAACTTACAACTCCTTGCACAGTCAGAAGTTGTATCTGAACACCATGGTATCTTTTGAAGGCTTCTCAAATATCTTTCCCATTTAGCACGTATAGAATCATAGAAAGGTTTGGGTTGAAAGGAATCTTAAATATCATCTCCCCCTTCCCATGGGCTGGGACACCTCCTGCTAGTCCAGGCTGTTCAAAGCCACACGTACCTTGGCATCTTCTTCACTGAAGAGTGAACACCATGGGGAGGTCACATTTTTTATAGCTAACTCATATGAGCAGGTGAGAAAAGCCACTTGAACAAGATCTGCAATAAAGCCAACAAACAAGCAAAGGATAGACCACTGCTACACAACTAGCAACTTTCAACTTGACTCTAAAATGAAATGTAACTACAATTCAGCAATGCAGACAATGTAAGACAATTGCCAGCCCAGAGGCCAAACACCAAAAATAAGATGTTTTCAACCGGATTGTTCTGAATCCTAATTCTGGACTTCAAGCTTTTCATGTTACATTGCTACAAGAGGAAAACAACAGCATTTCACACCAAATGCTGCACATCTGCTGAGTACATGCTATAGGTATCGACTACTAGTGTGTCCCCACCACCACAAAAGACACAAAAAGTCAACACAGAGAAGATATGTCTGCTCAGCACAGAGCAGTCTTTCACTATCACTACTCTACCTTCCACATTACCAGCTGAGTTTGAACAGCAGTGTGCTGCAATTTTGGGACCATGGCTTTAGGAACATGCTAGAATTAACAGCAACACTTATTTGGGGGGATTCCCTCATCACTTGACCATACAGTGAAACCTAGCACTTCTATTCTGGACAACTGAAGTTACCACATGGACACACAGGTCCACGTTTTCCTGACGTTATTTGTTTGAACTGTAACAGGTTTAAAAAAAGCTAAACCTGTTTGACAAAGCAGAATTAGAATAACAACACTGATTTGCCTCCAAGCAAAGGAAAAGTTGATTTCACCTCCAGAAAAGGTATTTTCAAACACCTTTTTCTTCTGACCACTAATAAGCATTCATTACTGCAATACCAATATATATTTACTGCCTATGCAATTAATCAGAGACTGTATCTTCCTTTTACACCATGATTTTAGTTACCTTCTCTCCATAACTACACATCTTGGAAGTCATTCTCAAGCAGAAGCCACCTGTAACAGGCATTCATTACCTGCATTTAGCTCCTCCACCGGCAAACACAAGGCACTTGCAACCTTCTCCACGACCTTCTTCATCTCTGGCCCCTCTTTGAAAGCCTTCACCTGGCACATCGCCGTGGCGTTCTCTTCCACCAAGGCTACAAACTTGGCGCAGTGATCAAAAAATCGCATCAAGGAATCATTAACTTCCACCTCTGCTTCTGAAAGCAAACACAGGCGTCAGGGACGCAGTCAGACACCTCCCCAAGGGCAGTCCATCCTCCACAGCGGTGTCCCTATAGGGGGAAAGAGGGGTCCCCCCCCAGCCCGGGCACGCGGGACATGGGACTGGCCTCACCGCTTCCCTCAGGCCCGGGGCAGCGGGGAGGACTTGGGGGCTCGCTCAGGGAAGGGGGGACAGCTGTGCGCCCGGTCTTACCGTCGCTGCCGAGGCTGAAGGACGGTCCGAGCCCGCGGCGGAAGGCGGCGCCGCTCTGCAGGCAGCGGTGCTTGGAGCTGCTGGCCAGCACCAGGCGGCGGCGGGCGGCGAAGAGGGCGGGGAAGCGGGCGGCCAAGCGGCGGGCCAGGTGCTCCATATCGCGCCGGCCCTGTGGCGCCAGCCGCCCGTCGAGGCTCTCGTTATACCACATCTGCCAGGCGGCTAGGTCGGCAGCGACGGGACAGGCTGCTGCGGCAGATCCTGCGTCAGCGGCGGGGCGGCGGCGGAGGAGGCGGGCGTGCAGGTCGCCCAGGCGGCGGATCTGCTCGGCCGTGGGGTAGCGGGTGCCGTGGCGGAGCAAGGCGCGGAGCTGCAGCGGCGCGCAGGAGGGCGGCAGCCCGGACCCGACCGCGGCGGGACCCAGAGACAGCGGGTCGCGCACCAGGTACGGGTTCACATCCTCGTAGCGCGACTTGGTGCCGAAGTAGCCGTTCAATCCCGCGCTCGCCACCTCCAGCAAAGGGAGGAGAACGGCAGAAAGGAACGCAGCTACCACCCGCAGCGACGCCATGGCGGCAACTGCAGGGCTCCTGCAGGAAGAGGCGGAGACGAGTTGCCCCGCCCTCCTCCCCCTCGCCTGCGGGCCCGCGCCTCAGTGGGGCGGGCTAGCGACCGGGTGAGGGTGGTGCGGCCTGTGTAGAGCTGCGGATGCCCTGCCGCCGAGCTCGATCCCTCAGGGCTGTACCTGTGTGTTAAAACCGCGCCTTTATGACTCATTTATGGATCCTCAGGGCACTAAAGACCCCGATTCTCACCCCCACGCTTGTGCCTGCCTTAGGTGGGCCCCGGCCAGACGAGGCGTGAGGCAACGGGGAGATGGCGGCTTCCCTCAGGTCGTGGTAGCTCCCCATAGTACTTCACCCGTGAGGGTGCAAAGAAAAGCCTTTTTGACCCTTTTATGGCCCCTCATGATGCTAAAGACCCCAATATTCACACACACGCACACACCCCCTTGTGCTTGCTTTGGCAGGGCTTGGCCTTCAATATGGGATACATCATCCTCCACACTGGCCAGTAAATTGGGTAAGCAAAGCTAAGAAGGGGCTTTTGACGGCATTTTTTTTCTCTTTTTGCCCAAAAGCTGACGAATTCCAGTCAACAGTTTAGGGAGCATTGTTGAGCGGGGGATTGTGGGTCACTGCTGGTGGGGATGGCATTGCAGATCAAGGGCAGTGCAAGGTGTCAGGGTTTTGTAACAGGGTTTATGTGTTCCCAGCAGGAGGGAGTTCATGTGGAAATAGGGAGCTGTGAAAAAGTCGAACATGTGGGAGTGTGAAGTTTGCAGCCAGGGATGCTTCCAATCAGGAGTGGTGTCCAGAAAGACACCAGTATTGTTTATAATCCTCACATCCCACTGGCATCATCGGTGGCACAGCATGATGGCATTGTAATGGGCTATACATAAAAGCTTAGAAAGGCTTAGAAAAGCAAAGGCATCCTGTGGAAAAGCCTGAGCCTGCCAGTGATGTGATGGTTATAAAACAATTTGAGCAAAGGCATAAGCAAGAAAAAAACCCATCCGCAGTGCTGAAGATACCCATTTTAAAGAAAACCCTCACTACTAAATAGGTAGCTAAGGAAACTGAGTGACTTGTAAGAGAACCAAGGCTTGAGGTTAACAGAAGCATCTCAAGTCTCGGGAAAAGGGCTTGGCTTTTGACCTATAGCATGTCCTGGTCAGACCTATGTTTTATATACAGAAAGATCAGCTACTTTGCACCCTGCCTACACAGTCAGGCTATTGTGCATACAATTGAGAATTTTCACTGAATAAAGTTTTTCAATACATATTTAGTCAACTAAAATTCTGTTGGAAAATACGTATCTCATCTGTCTTCCACCTCATTAAAAACTGAAACAAGGTGTTAAGGTAATGATATGATAATGTACAAAGAGTTAGGGTAGGCAAAACCTTTAAAGCTGAGAGAGAAAGGGGAAATGAAGGTATAAGTATGGGTTTTAAAGTTTTTGGACAAAGTTAAGGGCTCTCTATGGTGGTGTGACTTAGCTCTCTCCAGTGATAGTGTGCAGGACTACATTGTCATGTTTCCTAGTGCTTTGGGAAAGGAAATAGTACAGTATGCAAACTAAACTACCTCGCTGAAGGCTTTGGCTTGGTCCTCTGTTGTGTGAAAGGTTACTTCTTACCAGGTATAATGGAGATTTTCAGGGTATATAGCAAAAATTTTTGACAGTGAGAATTTTGTTCTATATGTTTCATAGAGATGCAACTAATAAGGGGTTGGATTTGTGATCTCTTCATACCTAGCAGCAGGTATGTTAGCTGTCTACAGATTAATTCCACTTCAGTGATAATGCACTCAGTTGTTCTGTTGGGACTTGTGTTTCAGCTGTATCTGGGGTGTAGTGGGTGTAGTGCCAAGTACTTCACTGTTTCTGTCGCCCTTTGTGGCCTGTTCATCTGAGCCTTCCACAGCATGCTGCTTTTCTTGTGCTGGGATCTTGAGGCAGTTGTGGGTAAGTACCAAGCAAATACAGTGCTGAGAGGCAGACAGGTTTGGCACTTGTAACATAAGTCTTCTAAACAGTAACTTCAGGAAAGAGGAGCAAAGCCTGACTATATCAGGACACAACAAACACATACAACCAAACATTGCTTCCGTTCCTAGACTTTTATTTTGTGTTTAAAATATTCCAAGAAGTGTTTTCATGCACAAGGTAATTTTACACCAGCATTCTGGAAGGATTTCTGGATATATGGAATATGTTCCTGGACAGCATCTACTCGCTCCCTCAGGAATTGATGCACTTGGCAGTCCAAGACCCAACAAGACCCTACTGCTGTCTTTAAGCTACCTTAAAGGATCTGAAAGGAAGGGGAACAATCCCATGATGATTTGGAAGAGGTGGAACACATTAAGCAGATAAACTCTTAATGACTGCATATGCATCTCACTGGTTATGGAGCTCTGCTGGAAAGGGCTTAGGTTAAACATGAAAAATACAAGTTTGTGCAAGAAGGTGAGGCTAATAACTAGTTATTGTTTAATAAAATAGGACATTGTCTACTCTAAACCAGTGGTAATTCAAAACCAGTGAGACAAACAAAAGCATTGTGATCATTTGTCTAGTACAGCTCTTTTGGATGTAAGTGGTTCTTACAAAATTGTTATTATTCCACCTCATTAAAAACTGAAACAAGGTGTTAATGTAATGATATGATAATGTGCAAACAGGGTAGGCAAAGCCTTTAAAGCTGAGAGAGAAAGGGGAAATAAAAGTATAAGTATGTGTTTAAAAGTTTCTGGACAAAGTTAAGGGCCCTCTGTGGTGGTGTGACTTAGCTCTCTCCCAGTGATATTGTGCAAGAGTACATTGTCATGTTTCCTGGTGGCTAAGTAATTTGGAGTAATTTTCTCCCCTCTGAAATTGCTAAAATTTCAGAGGGAGGAAAATGCAAATACTCCATTATCATTTCATATGACCTTCTTTAATTTATATTAGGCATATCTAACCATTTAATGTAATTTCTAGCATATCATCTTTTATAACAAAACCAGCACAAAACTGCATACAGTGAGGTTTTCAGAAAATACTATTTTAAGTTGTTTTGAAAACTATCAAGGGTATTTTATAAAATACTAAGAAAAATATAAATTCCATCTTCTGCATAATTATTCACTGCAACAAATCTATAATTGGCTTTAGTAGGAAAATGACTTGGCATATTACAGCAGTGTGTACATGAGCTTATGTGCATGAGGGAGAAAAAGAACTCATAGAGTTTTTCATTAAAGATCATAAATATTTAGATTTTAAAAATATCAATTTGAAAGGCAATTAAATAAAAACTGGTTTGTGATCACAGTTTCTATGGAATTCTGTGTCCTGAATTGTCAAGTGAAGGCAGTCTCCCCCCACTGCGATCCCTTACTTGCTCTATCACATCACATTAAATTGTCACATCTTAGTACATCACATTCAGTTATGTATTTTGAATGGCTTTCACAATTTTTTTTTTATGTATCTATTAAGATGGGGAAAATGTTATCCATCACATATTGTTCAGTGAAGAGTTTCTTCTATTTCCACTTCTAATATTTGAAAACATCAAGAGAAAGAGTTGCTTTTACATCATGTTTCATATTTGATGGAGTCTGAGTCCATAGAGGCCTTTGTGGCCACTGGTTACACAGGAAATTTTTTAGTGCTGCTCTCAGCTGAAAACATTGCTTTGTTTGAATGGTTGCACATGAAGCTAGGCTCTTTTCAGAATTTCTGTGCATCATGTTTGTCACCTTTAGAATTAAAGAAAGACCAGATGATTCAGATGCATAGTGCCTACGCAGCCCAAGTTGAGGTATGTGAACATGATTGCTCAGATCAACAGACAGGCCAAGTGTGTTAAAAATTGGATAGATACCAACCTGCCTGATGCTGCTTAGTCAAGTGCAGCCTCTGAGTGCTGAAAATACCACTTTTTCCCCCTTCAAAGCTTTTCTTCCCATAGAGCATTATCTTTTCTCTGGAGAACAGCTCCACTTCATACCCCAAAACTTGGGACAAAGCATTTACATAGCAGCCAAGTTGTCATTTTCACTCTCTACAAGTATTGTGATGTCCTGTTTTGGTCCTTGATGTGTCTTCTTTATGCTTAAATTAGAGGCCAAAAAAAAAAAGTACAGGCATGCCTGCTCGAAATGCAGCCATGTCAAATTGTTCTCTCTTTGGTTCTCCTTTATCTTTTTTGTTTCTTTCCATCTTCAAGTGTGGTGATGCTGCGGAATGGTTAATTCATAAGTCACATTTCCATTCACTGGCACTCTTAGAGTGCAGTGAAATCAGTTTCAAAGAAATGTCCTGAATAATTTCCTTATTTCTGCTTCTTCTATGGGTTTTCCTTAGAGGTGCATCAATTTCCAAACCAAGGTATATTTGAAATGCAACTTAGAAAGTCAATCCACTAACCTCTTCTGAAAGCACTTATTTTCTTATAAAGCCTTCCTATTCCTCAGTACTTTGATGGCCTGTAATTGCCATTAATGGTGATACATTTCTTTAGCAGTCAAAGGGCAGAGAAAATGTTATATTAATATGTCACCAGCTGAGTGTATGCTATTTGCTGGTCTTTTCAAGAGTGAAGAAAGTTTCCAGTTTCCAGTCTGAGCATTCAGATAATTCATATAGTACAAAATTCACTGCCTGTAGCTGTAGAAGCAACAAATGGTTCTAGGTTTCAGCTCTCTGTATAAGATTTTTAAAACCAGTGATAGTAATTACATGGTCCAGAGAGGAAAAAGTGTTGGCCTCTAATTTTGTGTTCAGTTTACTTTCTCATGCAACCTGTCCTTTCATTTTCTTTACTTTCAAGGAACAGATCTCCAAGCAAGGATCTCTTCCTGCTGACAGGCAGTATTCCTTGTTATCTGATGGCCAGCTATGGTTTTAAGAGAAAAAATAAGGTAAGTTTTTGTCAGCCTTTGAGCTTCACAGTCCTAAAGTAACAGGAATGTGAGAAACACAGGAGTGGTGCTATTTGGACATCCTGGTCTCACTGCGGCATGTCATCTTCAGAATAAGGTCTGAAAAGCTTCAGCAGAGGTAGCTCAGAGCAGAAGGATATCCTCTATTCCTGTGGTGTTTAGTTATTCTCTGTAAGGAAGCGAATTTCAACTTTTGAAGTCATAAAGGAAAGCAAGCAATATCCAGAGTCACTGCATGCTCCAGACAACCAAATTTTATCTTATTCAACTGGATGAACCCTGCACACATGAATTTGCTGGCTTTCGGCAGCATTGGAAGGGCTGCAGGCTGGGGCTAGGCTCAGCCTGGCCAAGGCACAGATACCAGCCCAGGTATGAAGATCTACATAAACGTGTTACTGTTCTGGCTCTTGGCCTGGGCAGAGGGCATGAGGCAGGGTAGAGATGGCCTGATGGTGGATTTGATCTGGCATAAAGAGGGTCAGAAATATGAGGATGTGTGGTGGAGACTCACAGGAGGTGAAGGGTGTGGGCTTGGAGCTACTCAGCCTGCTTTTGGGTCATGTCTTCACACTTGGAGACGATGCACCAGCACATGAGCTTGGGAGTTTGTGTACTCTGTAACATCAATGATAACTGAACTGCTTTTATTTTTCCCACGGGGAGGGTAACCCTATTCCCTGCAAACTTTACTGTCTCATAAAATATTGGCTCACAATTGTGTTTGTGCACAGCAAGCAAAGATGAGTCTCTGCTGCTGCTGGGCTAGGTGGTGGCATCCAGAAACCCAGGCTGTTGATCCTCTGTCAGTTGGCACCACATCTGTGCCTTCCAGTGCAAAGCCATGTCAGCACAGTGGCGCCCATTTTGGATGATGTTTTTTTGTACTGTAGTTGCAAAATCACTTTAATCTTGGGGCACTGCCAGATCCTCAGTGCTCCCTTTTGACACGTACGCTTTTCAGAGGCACTTTCTGTTCTTTTGGGGAGTCTTTTGTCTTCTGTTCGTATGAGCAGGGAGCAGGAACACATTCGTTGCTCATATGTAAAGTAATGTTGTTTTCCTTAGCTCATGCCACATTTTGGTTAGCAGACAGAGAACTGGAAAAGTAACAGTGCATCCACTGATGACTGTTGCTTTTCACAGGAAGGGTTGAATTCAGATCTTGTCCAGTCTATCCTAATGGAGAGATACTCCTAATACTTTTGGTTGCTACCTGCCTTGCATGTGATTCCAGTTTGGGAATTGCCGCACTGTGACTTACCAACAGTTGAAAATGGGAGGTCTATGACTGGGCTGCTTGGTCTGGAGATCACCTTTCTGGTCCCTCCCTCCCATTGCAAAGGGTGGCTGCTCTAAAGCTGCTCAGTGTGACTCCCTTGAGGTTGGGGTCAAAGTCCTTTCTCAAGCTCCTTAGGGCCTGCTTTTCCACCTGGCTGGCTTGTTTAAATGGTTTATAGTTATGGTGAAGCCAGTACCTGCTTGCTGCTGCTAGACCTCGATTAACCCTGAGTACAACTACATCTCCATAACTATGCTTACATACATATTCTGTTCTCATGGCCTTTTGCTACTCTGCTTTTTCAGTCAGCCACCCAGCACTTGAAGTATCAGGCATGTTTGATGGTGTATGGGAAATACAGTGCTTTTGGAAACCCTGAGTGCTGTAACATGGTCTCCTTGCTGGCATGGTTTTGTTTGCATGACTTGATCAGCATGGCTAGGTCGTAATGAGGCTGTGTGTCACATGGCTTGTTCTCCCAGAAAATATAGAAACCTTTGGGGATCCTAAGTGATTTGACCTCTTTGCAAGTAGAGTTTCTAGTCTTGCAGTGTGGCTTCACCCTGTGTGGGGAATTCCATCACATGTCAACACCTTAATTATGTGGCTTGTCTTTCTGAAGCATGTCAAGCCCTTGCAGTTCTTGAGCAGCATGATCGCACACAACAAACACAGTCAGGACATGGAATGGCTTGGAAAAATGCAGACATAAACTCAGAACCCCTCAAAATGCAGCCAAACTGGGTTTTCCAAGGGTGAAAATAAATACTAACAGTTTCCTTCTTCAGATAAGTAAGAGGAGGAGAGAAACTACACAATATAAATGTGTGCTCTGTATATGGAAAAGGTATATTTCTGCATTTTATTTTCACCAGATAGAAGCTAGGAAAAAAAACTCAAAGATTGTGACATGCTCAATGCAAGGGACTAGTTACAACAGTGAATCATGAAAGAATTGGCAAGTGTAATAATTAATTCACTGACAACCCTTTTTTAAATGTTTCTCTCAGACTGGGTTTGGGCTTGGATGGCCAAAAGAAAGCCATAATAATGAGGTCTGCTGACAGGCCAAAGCTTGACAGTGATCCAATGCAGAAAACAACCAGTCAGAGATGGGCAGAAAATTAACAGTGAAAAATTGTGCTCTTGTACCAAATGACAGGGATTTTTACTCCAAACTCATCATCTCAGAATAACAAAGGGAGAGAAAGGCTCGAGCAGACCGACTGATCTCTGGGCAACTGTGAGCCATCTATGCAGCATGGCCACATTAGGGCAAATATGAGTCAGAATAGGCATTATCAGTAGAGATAGGGAAAGATTAATGCTACCCACCATGCGTATTGCTGCAGCTGTATCTGGAAAGCTGCATACATAGTGCTGGCCATCCACAGTCCCATTCACTCAGGTGCAGAATTGCACAGAAGTGCTGCTGGTGTGACGCATGTCCTACGAGGGGACATGCAGATGGGTGCAAACCGGATGTGAGTAAATATGGGCTGGACCTTAGGAGGTTTCTAATCTCGAAAGGGCAGCTTTGGGAACAGCCTTCCAGAAGGAAATGACCTACCTGACCTCAAGATAAACTTACCAAGCATGGTGAGAAGAATGAGGTGGTTTGTCTGCCTCTAATAGCAGGTACTGAGCTTGGTGAGACACAGTGCTTCAGTCCTGTGCCCTGTTGACCTGCTCTGCTTCTGACCAGAGGTTCAAGCCTACGGTACGCTTTTATGACCAAACTTCTTGCCCAAGAAAACAGGGATGTTATTGTGACAGTGCCGAGAGTGTGACCTTCCCTGCCCAGTGCCATCCATCCCTGCATGAAAAGAGGGATGGAAAAGCTCTGAAAGAGCTTCAGAAAAAGTCAGCCTTAGGAGTTGGTGTGAAGTTAATCCAATTCTACCAGGCTGCATGCAAAGTGTCATGTTTTAAACCCAGCCGGCAACCAAGTATCACTCAGCCATTTGCTCACCTGGATGGGGAGAAGAATCGAAAAAATATAAAACCTGCAGATTGAGGTAAGAACAGTTTAATAACTAAAATAAAATACAATAGAGTGATAATAGAAATAATACGAACAATAACAATATTGATGAGAATAATAGGGAACAGCAACAACAACAATAACAAAAGAAAGATCAGAAAACACAAGTGATGCACAATACAATTGCTCACTACTGGCTGTTCTATACCCATCCCCACCCAAGCAGCGATCTGGGCCTTCTGGGTGACTCCCTCCAGTTTATATGCTGGGCATGACATGCTGTGGTATGGAATATCTGTGGAGACAGTGTTCTCACAGGAGAATGGATAATTGGTACATAAACTCTGAATAATCTTGAAAGATACAGCAAGGCCGTGAGAGGCCCAAGGAAGCTTAAGCAAGCAAAATAAGAAGAAGCTGGAATTCACTGAGGTAATGAGAACTGTGGACTGTTGGCAAGCTTTCGAGGTCAAGTTCCCCCACCTGTGCTTAACCAATTATATGCTAGTTGCAAAGGGTCTTCAAGACATGTATCCAATCATAATATGCCAAATCACTGTAAGTGCATATAAGAAATAGTATTTAAGGGGTTAAGGCTTTGTAATAAACGGCTTTTGTCTGATCATATTGATCTCTGACTGAGTCCATATATTTTCTGCGGCAAATACCCTTTTGGCTAATTTGTGTCAGGTGTCCTGTCTCTGCTTCCTCCCAGCTTCTTGTGCCCCCCCTCACTGTCAGAGCATGAGACTGAAAAGTCCTTGATCAGGGTAAGCACTACTTGGCAACAACTAGAACAGTGGTGTGTCATCAGCGCTGTTCTCTGACTGAAGCCGAAATACAGCACTGCACCAGCTACTAAGAAACAAAAGTAACTGTTACAGCTGAAACCAGGACACAAAGCCACATCTCGCTAAGTCATTCAGAATGAAAAACTGGTAACGGAGGCAGTTTGCCAATTTATTCAGCAGCCGTAGAGCCACGGTTGGTCAGCAGCTTTCTAAAATTAAAACGCTCACATAAGACAGATTTTCTTCATGACCAAGCAATCTTTTTAATAGATTCAGTAAATAGAATGTTGTGTAGTAACATTTCTTCCAATCCTAAGGCAGTAAGTTATAAGTTATCCTTATGATACTTCTTTTCAATTCCTTTGACATTTTCTATTGCTGTTCATATTTCTTTTTTGCTTTAAGAAAGTGTTTTTCACCCATATTATCATTAGAAAAACCTAGACAACTTTTGTCTGCCAATGGATGTAGCAGGCTGTTTTACAGATACTTCTTAGGGACTCCAAGAAGTTGGGGGCAATTTAAGTTCCAGTTAAAGCTTCTTTCTTATCTGGACTAGTTAACTTTATCACTTTTATTTCCACAGGAGGTAACAACCCATTGCTGGGTCACTTTTATTCTCTGTGTGCTCTTCACTGCCCTGTTTTGTGAAGCTTAGGTTTCTTCTCATCTATATTTTAAAGATGGGGAGGCATTAGGAAACTACAGACATTACTGTACTTGCCAATACTCTGACACAAGAAGAGAAGCAAATATCAAGAACTAACTTGTAGATCCCTTTACTGCTAAATGAAGACATGTTATTTCTGTCCTCCCCAATGTCTGCAGCCATGTCAAAAGTACGTCGTGATAATGGTAGCAAGGGCAATCCATACCAGCTGTCAGTATATCTCACACTCAAACTGATTGCAAATCAGTTTTCTGCATTCACAGTTTGTTTAGTTTTAGCTCTTGCATATTTAGCTGTTTTCATGTTTTCCAGGCAGCATGGGCTGTGAACAAACTGTATAATCCATGTATGCTTTTGGAAATGTTTTGCTTCACCCAAAACCAGAGTTGATGGCAAACAGAGCTTTGCAGAGGAAAGATGCTGATCTGCTTTGCAGCTTTGCCCACAGCTCAGCTGATCCTGGCTGTGTTTCAGAGCACAGATTTCAGTAACGGGAATGAACCAGCATGTCAGTCATTGGGGTCTTTCTTTTAGCGCCATTAGCAATTGCAGCACAAAAGGAAAATGAAGAGTCATTCAGCTGGAGTTAACTGGGTCTTAGTCTTTTGTCTAGAAAATCCTTAACTTCCCCATTGAAGTCTGGTAACAAATTAAAAACTTTTGTCTGCTTGCCCCTCAAAATCAGTTCATGTCAGTAATGCTTTTAGCTTGGATAAAGGAAAAGGGTGTTGCAGGTTGGATTTACAATTCATTAAGGAAATTAATTTACTCTTCCTTATACAGGGTTGAAGTTCTTGGGGCATGGGCCTAGGAGAGAGGCAGGGTAGAGAAATGGTACTAACATGTCCTGCTTCGGGAATGCCTTTTGAGTCTCATGCTGAAAGTGAAAAGCTGTGAAAATTATCTTATTTTTTTTATATGTGTGTGAAGAATCCAGAAGGGAGGTGTCGTAGTTTAAACCCAGTCAGGTAATTCGTTCGCTCACTTCCCCCCCCTTTCTTGCCCTCCCCCTGCTCCCGGAGGGACGGAGAGGAGAATTGAAAAGAATGCAACTCCCACGGGTTGAGATAAGAACAGTTTAGTAACTAAGGTATAACACAAATCACTACTGCTACCACCAATGATAATAATGATAAAGGAAATAACAAGGGAAGAGAATACAACACCTCACCACCAGCCGACCGATAACTCGCCCCCCCCCCAGCCTGACCAAGCTCCGACCGATATCTCCCCCAACCCTGCAGTCTCCCAGCCCTTCCGGCTCACTCCCAGTTACATCCTGGGCATGACGTGCTGTGGTATGGAATACCTCTTTGGTCAGTTTGGGTCAGGTGTCCTGTCTCTGCTTCCTCCTGGCTTCCCCTCCTCCCTGGCAGAGCATGAGGCTCACAAAGTCCTTGGCCAAACCAAAACATCTCTATCAGCTCTGTTCCCGAGCTGAAAGTCAAAACACTGCACTGCACCAGCTACCAAGGAGGAGAAACATGACTGCTACTGCTGAACCCAGGACAGGAGGGAAGGAGGAAGGGAGGGAAGGGAAGGGAAGGGAAGGGAAGGGAAGGGAAGGGAAGGGAAGGGAAGGGAAGGGAAGGGAAGGAGGGGGGGAAGGAAGGAAGGAAGGAAGGAAGGAAGGAAGGAAGGAAGGAAGGAAGGAAGGAAGGAAGGAAGGAAGGAAGGAAGGAAGGAAGGGAAAAAAGAGAGAGAAAAAAGAAAGAGAATGAGAAAGAAATAGAAAGAATAAAAAGAGAAAGAGAGAAAGAAAAAAGGAAACAAAGAAAAAAGAAAGAGAGAAAGAAAATGGAAAGAATGAGAAAGAGAGAGAGCGAAAAAAGAAAGAGAAAGGGAGAGATAGAGAGAAAGAAAAAGAAAGAGAATGAGAAAGAGAGAGAGAAAGAGAAAGAAAAAAGAGAGAAAGAGAGGGAGAAAGAGAAAGAAAAGAAAGAGAGAGAGAAAAGGAAGGAAGGATTAATCTAGAATTTTTTTTTTGTTTTACCCCTCTTCAGATTCCTGGGTTTTTGCAATATGATTACAGAGAGATCAGAGTCAAACCTTCCTCAGCAGCAAAAAGGGATGCAACACGCAGGGAGTTCAGGTTGGATGGGGCGTAATACACCTTCCCCCGGAGTGGATAGCAGCACTAGGACAGGTCCCCCAAAAGACAGTCTCCATCCTACGCAGGGTCAGGGAAACTCCTGAAGCAGCCCATTAATGACGGACCCCGCATGTAAGGAAAGGAAAAGCTTCTTTTGAAATGAAACAGGAGAGGGTCTGACTCAAATTCCTCGGAATGCATGCCAGGCAAAAATAGCAGTCCAGACAAGTTTTTCTTTGTTGTTATTGATATAGTTGAGGAAACAAATCTTTGTGCATGCTCTTGTACAGAAACAAGCTGTACATTGAGGGATGCTGCTTGATAACATGGTCAAACTCCAGCATTTTTCTTCATGCTTTCTTTGGAGGATTATGAGGTCTGCTATGGTTTTGTTGAAGGCAATGAGCTGGTCCATTCAGGAGGGCTGCAGTCACGCTTCAGAGTGTCGTAAGCATCACAATCTCATTTTTAAGTCACTGGGTTTATGACTGAGGAAATAATCCTGTGCAGAATGGGAGTTCTTATTTCTTTTGGATTTCTGCAATTTACCCTGATTGAATGTCTGTGTTTCCTTCCCTCATGTCAGGGTAAAATCTTTTCTTTTTGGCAGATTTTCCATGTTGGAATTCACTTTTGCATTTGATATGTCCATGGTGCATGGCTGCATATTGATTTTGTAAAACCTTTTACTTAAAATGCCAGGATAATAATTTACTTTGCTTCAGTGCTTGTCATGATCCCCTTTTGATCAGGCACTGACTGCACTTCTTTAGATGTGGATGTGAAATAAGCCTTATTAAAATCTGTATGTGAAATAAGCCTTATTAAAATCTGTCTAGATCTGATCTGTAGCATTAATTGTACAAGGTGTTAGTACCAAAAACCATAATTTGGGAAGTTTCAGTACCTTTACTCCATAATATGAGGCTACACATTTTCACTACATTAATATACATGCCTTTGAGGGGTGGAAAAAATTCTTCAATAGACCCACAACCCACAACTGCTGGATACACTCACTTTTGAACTGATTTAGTATAAAAGGGAGTCTTATAACTATTTATCATATTGAAAAGAATTCCTTAATCTTTATGAAAAGCAGACACCTACAATTACCATTCAGTAATTTAAAATGCCAGTTGCTTTCCTTTCTGATACAGGTAATATACATCTATGTGTGCGGTAAAGATATGTACTAATGACATGCTGCATTAACAGGATAGGAAAATTAATCCCATCCCATGTAAAAGTATAAATATCATTACCTGAATCAAGATGAACAAGACATTCCTGGTGAGTGAGTCTATTTTTGGGAAATCATGGGGTTGGAATAAGATTAAAATAAAAAAGGTGACACTTGAGTGTTGCTAACTGTAAAATATTCCCTGTTCCACAAAAAGTTTGCAGCTTGTTCCTTTCATTAAACCTCTGGTTTATCTTCCCTGTAATTTTGGCCTGAGAAATTCCAGCTAAATGTTGAGGTTGACGCAGATGGTCTTACTACAAACAGACATTGCCTATTTTTGCAGAGCAAGTTTACAAAGCAGGCTCATTTGAAATGGTGACTTGTGCCTTTCTTACATCACCTCTGAACTCCAAAACTACCTTTGAACTTTTCATAAGGTAAAATTCAGTTGGTTATACTTAGGCAAAGCTGGTTTTTATTTGGTGGAAAATTTTTAAAGTCAACCTGCTCTTCAGCTGGTGCATTTTTACTCTGATTTAAGAAGACACAGAACAAATTACTTGTGGCCTGTGTGTTTAAAGATCCCACCCAGGCTTTTCTGGTCGTACCAAAGCTACTGATGGCAGTCTGAATATCCTTTTGTAGCTTCTGTAGCCACTATAAACCTTCCTGCTAATGAACAAGTATTTTCTTCTGAGTTGTTTATTTAATAATAAGAAATTAGGGTTGCATCTGAAACTATCATGTTATGATTTTAAGCCCCTCCACATTTTGCACATGAAAAAACGCATTTTACAAAAGCTTTGATTATGCCAGCCAGGGTTGGAGATGTCCTCTTGCATCCAATTATCCTCTTGGATAATTTGGCAGCGTTGATTGATAGATTTGTTTTTTTTTCCCCAGATGAAAGCACTACACGTTTGACTCCCAAGTGTATAATATGCACTCAGGCATTTGGCCTCTGAAGCAGCCATAGGCAAGGCAGGCAGAGTCAAGGAGCCCGTTAAAGTACGTACGGTCTGAACAAGGGCTATTTCATTACTGAGAATAACTTTGAACTGACAGAGAAAGTCAGTCCTTCTTGGTGTAGGAAAGCCAGCTAATTCTTCCAAGACTTTAGAGCACATTATTTTTAGTTCAAAATAATCATGGGCTATTAAACATAAACAGAACCTGTGAGAAGCCCTGTGTCACTGAGCACGGCACCAGGAAAGTCTCACTGCAGCAATTTTGTGCTCCTACATGCTGATGGAGACATATGGGGCTTCAGGTCTGACACCGTATGTCTATTCCTATATGAACTAGATGCCCTTCTGTCACCCAGGGAAGATAAATAGTCCATTTTAAATGCCCCTTTTCAAATGATTTAGAAACAAACAAACAAAAAGAGGTATTTCTTGAGACAGAAAGGAGACATTAGGAGTTAGCAAAATTGTTTCTGTTTGTTCTCTGTTCTCCACAGAGATGGTCACCATACCCGTATACAGGTCTAGTCTCCAAATGGAGGAGGAAGGGATCTATTCTAATCTGTTTTTTAAAGGTTATACAGGAGATTTTTGTGGGAAAGCCCAGAAATAGCTGACGATAGCTAGACCCGTGATGACAGAGCCAGTACTGAAGTCCTTGTACTCAAACTGAAGGCAAAGCAGACTAACCCTGAGAAATGTGTGGTCATCGCCAGAAGAAAGATTACCGTATTAGGCCACATTTTCCAAGGAGATGATCTAAGACTGAAGTGGATGAGTCAGCTGAGAGGGAGCACTGTGACTAGAGACCTCACAGGAGTACCCAGCCAAATCTTCCCAAATCAACAATTTCAGGACAAATTACAGTTAAATAAAGAGATTTATCTTGAGATGTCTTTGGGAACTGCATCCTTGAAGCACAGCTGTGGTCTAAGCATCAGATGGAGAAGGGTACAGGGACCATCTCAGACAGCATCCGAGAAAGAATTCAAGTGGCAACAAAAGTTAAAAAATAGCACGTAGCTCCCAGCAAGGTTTCCTACCCTGGGCAAGGAATAGATGCAGTTTTATTTGTACCTAGTTTGGAAGGAGCTCTTTGCAATGGTGAACTTGGTTCTCTGACTTACAGCCTTTTGCTGATCTCAGCCACACTTCTTGCCAAACAGCCTCCAGGTCATGGAGACAATAAGAGATGTTGTCTTCTCAGGATCAGTGGGTTTTAAAATAATCCAGAGCAGTGCCTTTGTAAGAGAACAAACCCAGTGCACCATATTTAAGGGGAAAGACACAATGTTTTCCAACAGAAAGGGATGTGTCCTTGGCTTTGCTGATGCCATACAGGTCAGGGCCTGAAGTACCCAATCCAAAATGAGATGGGAGGTGACTCCTGCTGCAAGTGGAGGGAACCCAAGAGGTTCAGCACTATGGTGACACTGATCCAATGAAAGATGTTTTCTTGCATAATTCTGATCCAAATCTTGAATAATCTAGAATGAATGAGTTGTTTGATGCCTGGGTATTTTGCAGGGATATAAATAACACTGCCCTGACTACAACATGTGGCCCAAAGTAATCTATCTTTGCAGATGATAAGCACTAATGATACTTTTCCAAATGCCTTATCAAGAATACTCTGTGGTAACAGCTGCTCAAGAACTCGTTGCAGATTTAAGCTTGTGGCATTGTATGTTTGTGATGGAGAAAATCAGCAGGGACAACAGTGTCTGTGGTCTCAGTTACAGGCCCAGGGCTGTTCCCTCCCTTGCCCTTGTGGCTGGTTGCTGATGCCCTATGAGATGTCACTATTCCTACAGCTCCATAAAAGAAGTCATGCAGGTATTAACCTAGGCTGTTCCTGGGACTGGGCACAACACTGTTAACAGCAGGGCCAAGCCCTCCTATTTTCTCCAGCCAGAGTTTTGTCACAGTAGCCAAAAGAGCTGTTCATTTTCACCCAGCGTTTTAGCCTCTGGTCTCAGTGCAATTGCACTTCATCAAGCTTCATCAGCAGGAGCAGGAAGCAGAGCAGCCTTTGTGCCTTCCCCTGTGACACTGAGGCAAAGATACGCAGCTTGGGGGCAAGCCTTACAGGAGACAAACCCACCTTTTCTGTCCTTGACTTTTAGAGAAGGGGAAGAGTTCAGCAAATCAGAGGCAGGATTTGGCCCATTGATTTTTTTGCATATAATAGGTAGCAGGTCTTAAGTGGAGAAAAATGTTCTTTAATCAGTATCTTTTACTTTATTGCAATTAACCTTGTTATGCTAATACAGCCTTACTGATTAAAGACGCCAAGCTTCCCCGTAATAGTCTTGAATTACTACTAGGGTAATGATATTTCCATTTCTAAACATCCTGTGGTGCCATCCAAGTAACATCTGTATTCATGTACATACCTAATATGAATTATTCTCACACAACATTTACATCAAACATCCTTCCTGCATCAAAAATACACTACGTAGTTAAAAAACAGCTTCCCCATGTTTTAGTGCTCATCTTAATACTGTTATTATAAGCCCTGTGCTATTTACTGCTGTGTATTTAAGCAGGTTTCAAACGATATTTGCAACACTTGGTGTACAAGGCTGAGCTCTGGGGAACGTGTGACAGTGGGTGACGCTGGATGAGCTATCTGCTGGTGCTATTCATCATGCGTAATATGTCCTATTGCACCAAGGGTGCATGTATGGTAGGCACACCCAGTAATGGTGAAACACAGAAATCAAATTACTGCTGCAGAGATAATTGATTCTAGCCAGGGACAGAGGTGCAACTGGGGTGTGTCATGGCAGCACTGTCACAGTAAAAGTGAGTGTAGCAAAGAAAACAATCACAAAGAGGTCTGACAGCGAAGCTGACACACTGGTAATGGTGTTTGGTACAGCCATGTGACAGTCTCTGGCTCCAAATCTGTCTAAATCTGTGGCATTTAAGCCACTCACAGCTTGTTTTAGGAGAGGGCTAATATGTTGACCTGAGCTTTAGATAACCTCTTCTGATGCCATCTCCATGATCTGCATATTTATCCAAAAACTCAGTGCAGCTTGCCACTTTGCTGGCTGCAAGGTTACCTGGATGTTCAGCACCTTTCAGGAGCAAGCCCATGCCCTGGACAACTTGAGGGGCTTCAGATGTAATTTTGTGGCAGCTGTCTCATACCAAATCAAGATCAAAAATTTTTTGCTATGATTTGGTATGATGTATTAAATGTTAAAAAGATGGTGGCCATTATTAATGAAATTGAAGTCTTTCCTAGCTGAAAGTTACCATAAAATTGGATCTGAACTAATGTAATTTCAAGCAAACGTAATACGCTGTGATCTTAGATACCAGCAAGAGGTCAAACCTGCTACATACCTCTTTTATGGTCTTCACAATGTTAGTCCAATTTGCAGAGCCAACACATTAAACCCTCAGCCCTTGTGCTGTGACCCGTGAATAATCCTAATAGGATTGATACGTCTGAGTGGTGCTCTGGGTCAAAACTCCTGTTGAATTTGATGGGAGCTGCTCTACTTCCCGCGTTCTTCCTGCAAAACCTCTGCTATCACCTCCTCTGAAAGGCACTTGCAGCCCAAGCAACAGAGATCCATATATTTGCCACCCCAGGGTATCTCCAGCCTGGCACATCTGACCCCACTGTGGGACATTAGTTTCAAGGTGACCATCTCCAGAACTTGCTGGAAAGTACAGAGCTCTGTGATGGCCAGGGAACTACTCCTAGCAGATGGATCCAGGAAATTTCTGATTGACTATGGTAGGAGCATTCTGCATCTGTGAAACACACAGTCTCCATTCATCTTTCTTCAACGCAACTATTATACCACTTTGCCCCAAGAAATATGCCTCTTCCCAGCCTCTGCCATGTTGCAAATTAGCCTTGAGCACTTGCGAAGCCATTTCCTCCACAATTTTAGCATGCTGCTCTCAGCATAAACCTGCTGGCAGAGTGAATACAAGGAACATCGCAAGCTAATCTTCTGTTTTGAAAGCTGGCAGCTAATTGGGGCTCCCCGAGTCAACTGCAGTGACTGCTCCTGGGAAGCCCCACTTTTGTGCTGCTGCTTTTGCAGAGCAAGGTTTTCTTCTAAGTCCTGCCCAGAGTCTGGTTGAACTTACTGAGTTTTAACCATCCTGTAATCTATAGCTCTTGGGCTGCTATACAGCACTGTGCTGCCAGACCTGTCTGAGCACACAAGCATTGTCTGCAGGGAAGAGGATGCAGTGGTGCTGTCTGAGAGCAGGTCTGCTCTGGTCCAGTCTCAGCTGAGCCCCGCTAGTGTGTATATGCAAGGAAAAACACAATTCACCCTTTCAGGGATAAGCACAGGTTTTAAAAGGAAATGGGCAAGCAGACATGCAGCACAGCAACAATTCAAATCTGCTTTTACAGTTGTTTATTTACAGTTAAATAAATGTTTAGTTATATTAGCAAATACGTTAGGGTTACCCCCCCAAAAAAAAAAAAAAAAAATTAAGCTTTTTTTGCATGACCAGCACTAGCACTGTGGGAAAAATCAAGGGCTGCAGCATGTGAGGTGGTTTCAATAAGAGTTTGAAAGCAGATCACATCAAAACTCCTATCACAGCCTGCAAGATAACAGAGATAATGGCCCTGTTGAGCTCCTGTCATTATGCTGCTGTATCTGTCACCCTGTATCACTTGCTACCCTCTGACAACAGAGAAGGTAGCACAGTGCCCTCCATCAGCTGTGCTCCTCCTTTTTGACTCAGCAAAAGGGTAGAAAAATGCATGCCAGTGCCAGCATTTAAATCCTCATGGCAAAAAGCATGGATAAAACAATGTGCCCCATAAACTAGCACTGGGAACTGTTCTAGTGAGGAATGATGCACAATGTGGGGAAGTCTTGGGGGTTTTGACAAGCCTCATCAGGACCGGGTGCTCACTCTTTGAAAGAGGAGGGAGCACAGAGTATTGGAACCAAGGGTAATGGTGAAAAGGGGGTGATGGATAGGAAAAGCCTGGGAACTGCTCTTCTCAGGAAATACACTGCTGCCTGAAAAAGTTTTTTTCCCTAAGATGAGCAGCAAACCCCATTAGCAGGGAAGAGAATAACTGCCTGTGGTTGTGTGCTGTGCATGGGGGTCCCCTCAGGATGCTGGCGAGAAGCAAGTCACTGGCTGAAAGTGCAGAGAGCAGCAGTATCTACAGTGGGAGACGTGGTGCCACTAACTCCGTCCCACTCCCAGCCCCATGGCTACTCATCATCTCCTATCTGCATCTGTGTGGCCACAAGGCTGTGCTGTAGCTTTTACTCCCCAGCCATTTTTATAGGATCCCTTGTTACCTACCCCCTTCATTATCTGATGGGAAATGCCTAACATGGCACTTAAGGAAATGCCATACAGATCCACTGAGGTGTCAAAAACCCATGGTGTTGCCATGGGCTCTCCTATTTCTGATCCCGAAGCCCACGGACACATCTATCCCCAAGACCCTGGGGAAGGCAGCGGCCCAGGATGGCTGGAACACTCCGCTTGCATGTGGGATGTCCTGGGCAAGTCAATGACAGCCCTGTGCCAAGCTGGTCCTCTCTTGATAACTGTTGGCTTGTTATCTCCTTTGAGCTGTCTTTTCTTCCTTCTTTTACTGTCTTTCACTCCTCTTTTTAATTTTTCTTTCTTCTTCTGTTTAAATGGGGATGTGGTTGCTATTGCCCTACCTCTGTAAGCATTTCTCTTTTTATTTCAAATTTTGATGCATTTTCCCTCAAAGACACATGCTGTTTTAATCAGGAGCAATCAGCCATTAAAACCAGATCAATTAAATAAATTAGTTTACATATTTTTTCTGATGATCTGAAACAAACAGGAGAAAACTACAATCTTGCATGTATAATGCTGTTTGTCTGCAACAGACCACTGGAAAATATTGCTGATCTGAGAAGATGATGCCACCTCATCATTAATCTCTTGCTTGAATAATAAAATAGCTGATTGGAATCTACTGCATCCTTTGGAAATCGATATTTTGGTCTCTTTTACCATTTATATTGCAGTTAAGAGCTCTGCTCTGCAGTTTCTTAAAACTATGGCATGTGAGTGCAATGTGCCCTTTGCTTGACTCCACTAACGATGCACTTAATTCTTATTTTTCGCTCTGCTGCCGCTGCTGTTGTCCTTAACACCACTTGCCACCATCAGGAGACAAGGACAAAGCCCTGTGGGACTGTGATGCACTGTACAAATTTGGAGTAATGTCAACTCCTGCCAATCCTATTTCTAAGGCTTTAAAAAGTGTCGCAGTCAGTGCAACCCCATCTAACTTCAGGGTTAGCATAAAGTCACTGAATAAATGATGTCATATGGTGTCAAAATGATACAAAAATTATGTCACTATGGCACTGAGATGATGTTGTTATTTAATAGTATCATGCATAAAGCCACTAAGTAAATGATGCAACCTACATAAATTCTGCAACCTACACAAATGATGTCACCTGATGTGATGTCATAAATACCATCAGTGAGTAAAGGATGCCATATGGTATCAAGTGATGTCATAAATGAAGTTACTAGGTAAATGGTTGTTGCTGTACTGAAAGATGTACCTACAGTGACTGTGGTAGGATGAAGAAGGTTATTGACATCTTATTTAAGTTAGTTTAATATTAGTTCATTAATAAAGTATTAGTGTGCTAATAGTAAGTCTATTACATCTAAACAAAATTATATCTTGAAACAATCGATTATTTATTATTGATCAATGCCTCATGATTATTAAACATTGTGATCTATTAGCATTTTAGGGCTGATTCGTTCATGTGTACATTGATTTTGATTAAACCATTTACTCAGAGTGCCATCAGAAGAAACCTCCAGTGGAGTAGAGCAGTGGGTCGTCCCCTCCTGCTCCTGCAAGGGCACCACTGACCCCCAGAGAGACCCCCAAAATGACGCTATCTGGTACTGGCACACTCTCTCAGCATCTTTCCCACTCTCAGTGCTTGGACACTGGTTGTAGCCCTGCAAGAACAAGACTGGCTCAGCAGGATTAAGCCCATGCAGCAGCCCAGGACAGCTATTGCTGAGCCTCTTGACAGCCCTTTGTCATTCCCAAAAGGGAGGTCAAGCTCCCTGGGAATCAATTTGCACAGCCTTCAAGTTCACATTATTTGCTGGAAAATGCCCATACTATTGGAAAAACCCTAGAAAAGGGGAATTTATTATACAATTACCCTGGGGGAAGTGTCAGCAACATTAATCCTATTATAGAATTAGTAGGTCAGGGTTGCAAGAAATGATAGGGAGAAAACAGTGCCCTGCCAAAAAGCAGAAACCCCTATTAGAATGTCCCTGTGTTGATAGCATCCCACAATGGGAGCAAATAGAAAGATGTAATGTACATATGATGAGGATTGTCATGTCCTCCCCAGGTTCCACTGCCCCAAAGAAGATGCATCAGGACTCTCAACAAGTCTTTTCATCTCTGGCATGGCTGGGTGGATGCTCAGTGCCTGCTGTAACGGTGGAGGATGGCAGTGTTTCCAACAGGTCCCTTCTGTCTTTGCCATCAGCTTTCCTATTTTTCAAAGAGAAATGAGGGAGAGAGTGGTGAGCTGGCCCAGTTCCATATTCCTAAACTGTTCTTGGTGCAACCACACTCATGCAAGCCAGTCTTGCAAAGCTTTTGTAAGAAGAAGATTTTAAGCTTGGTCAGCTTGGGAAAGAGTAAAGCTTACAAATAAATCCCTCCTAATATGAAAGAATTGAAGCCACTGATGCCTGGGTTGTCTTCAGCAACAACCTGCCCCCCCCCCCCCCCCCCAATGAAGGCAAAATGAAAGTCCTGGCAGCAAGAGCGAGGGAGAAGAAAGGACCTGCCTCAAAGCAGGCAGGAGGGGAAGAGTCATTTCCAGGCTGTGCCAGTGATACACACGGGGTTTGGCTGCTCTGAAAACTCCTTGTTTAAGGCACCATTTTGTTAGCTGAGACAGTTCACAAGGCGCTTTCTTGCGCTATGGGAGAAGATCAAGCAGTTCTGGCTCAGCTCTGGAGTACCCTGGTCCTGTCTATTTGCCTGGAGAAAATCTTCTCTGCTTGTATGACTGGCTCAGCACTGCTGAAAGACCCAACATGGCACCTGCATTTTTAATTTCCACTATGACTTCGAGGAGACGTCAAGCAAAGAGTAGTAAAATAGTGGCCAATGTAACACTCAGACTCTGGTTTCCTTGTCAGATGAAAAAGACTCATTTGTATTTGATCCATGTGTTCTGCACACAGAGAACTAGCTGGAAAAAGAAACAACAGATTAAGGATTATCTGCCTGGGAGAAAAGTCTAGTGAAATATTGTGCTGGATTTCCCCAGCACCCTTTACCTAGCCATCCCCTTCCATCCTTATTTTCCCTCCTAAACATGAAGCGGTTTGCACATGTGAAAGCTGTTGCCTGTATCCTAAGGTGAAACAAAACTTATTCCCTCTTCATCATCAGTGATGAAAAAGTGTAAAGAGTTGCTAGTCATGGCAGATCTCAAAATGCAGCTTTCACACTGATTCTTGAGTTTTATTACATGGGGAATTTTCCCTCTGAAGGGCTAAACTACATTTTAAGAAACTGCAGTATTTGATATTTCTTTATAGAGGACCAGGACACCTTTGTGTTTCAACTGCTCCAGTGCATGAACTACTGTTTATCCAAGCTTAATTTTGTTTTAGCTTGGGCAATGTTTGCAATCAGTCATTGATTAGGGTTAAGTCATGAGGGTTTTTAAGATTTTGATATGTTTACATGGCAAAAACTGTCTCTTGCTTGATGTTGCTATGACATACTGCCACACCCAGTCCCTCCCATGTGTGTTTTCATCCTCCGATTGTGTGGGAGAGGGGTAGCTGGATGCAGTGCAGCTCTGCTATCTCCTTGATCTGCTGGCTAGCAACCACCTTGGAGAGATAACGAATGCCTGAAATGTGGGAACAGCTTTAATCAGCCCTTGTAGATCTTCCCACGCTGGGGAACAGGCCCACAGGAAACCAGACCCAGTGTGCACAGGTATCCCACAACCACTGTGGGCACCACAAAATGCTTTTGACCTTTTTGTATGGAAAAACCCCAATGTTCTCATATTAACAAGGCAGAGTTCATGAAACGAGGTTTGAAATAGGGTGTGAGGCAAAGTATTCATGAAACTAAATTTTACAATCTTTCTAACTTGAGAAGATGATGTCCACAGGTTGCTTCCAAGCTGAATTGTTCTCTTATTCTATTTCAACTAAGATTAATAACAGCTGACTTCTTACGTCTCGAGAGCTCTTGATGTTACAACAAAGAAGGTGAAGACCAATGCCCAAGAAGATCCCCTGGGTAGTGAAATAAAAGCAGACGTCCAAGTTTGCGCCAACACTGCATCCTCTGGTCTTGCAGCTCTCAGGGCAGGATGCATGCACTCCAGTTCTGCATCACATTTTCCCTGCAGAAGGGTAATCACAGAATCAGCTAGGTTGGAAAAGACCTGTAAGATCATCAAGTCCACCACTAAACCATGTCATAAGGGTCTCATCTACACAGTTTTTGAGTATGATTGAACCACTGCCCTGGGCAGCCTGTTCCAGTATCTGATCACCCTTTCGCTGAAGAAATTGTTCCTAATACCTCATTTAAACCTCCCCCGGTGCATCCTGAGGCCATTTCCTCTTGTCCTATCACTTATTACTTGGGGGAAGAGACCAAACCCCTCCTCACTACCACCTCCGTTCACGCCAGCACGAAGCACAACCTCACCTCCTGGTGGACAAGGTAACGCCTGGCCCGGCTCCGTCAGGATGCCAGCCAGATTTAGCATGAGAACTTTTCACCCCTTATCTGCTTGCAGCAAGATGCTGATGCCAGCTGTTTTGGGGTTTATTATTCGGTTACATGCCTGCAGAACGCTTCTAGGCACAACGCTACATCGAAAACCAATAGCTCTGACAGCGACGAGCGTCCCGACCCGTGTCCCTGGCGATAACGACGGCTGTGTTCGCAGATAACCACCCCGCACAGGCGTCTGCGGGCAGCACCGACCCGTCACACAACACACACCCCCGCCGCGCACAACATGGCGCCGCGGAATGACACGGCCGTCACGTGACGCGCGGTGCAACCCGCCCCGCCCGCCGCTGCCGCCGCCGCCGCACGGGACACGGGGCAGCCGCAGCCGCCGCCCAGGGGATCCGCCCGCCCGGCGGCCGTGCCGGCTCGGCTCGACCCGACCCGACCCGACCCGACCCGACCCGACCCGACCCGACCAGACCAGCTCCGCAGCAGGGCTTCGCGCCGCACGGTGAGCAGCGACCCGCGCCGCCGCCTCAGCGTGGGGTCAGGCAGGCAGGTTGGACACAGGCTCGGGGGTGGCGGCAGGACGGGGCAGTGGGTGACAGCGGGGAAGAGGCCGCGGCCGCCCGAAGCGGGGCCGTATAGCGTCGAGGCCGGACAGCGGTTCCGGGGTACCTGGCACCGCAGCCTGGCGGAGGCCTCCGCAGCTCCGGAGGATCCCCGGAGGGTGTCCAGGCCCCCTCAGCCCCAGGGGTCTCCCTTCTGGGGAGCTCGGGTCCCCTCCGCCCGGGGGCCCTGAGGGAAGTGTGGTCTCCTCAGCTTGGGGGTATCTCGGCCGCTCAGTACTGAGGGGGACTGCAGCTCCCCCACCAGAGATCTCCCGGGCCCCGGAGGCTGAGAGGGCTACAGTCGCCTGAGCTGGTGGGACTAGAACTGAGGAGACTTCAGCTTCCTTGCTCCGCCTGGAGCGCTTGTCCCGTCAGCTGTGATGCAGGGTCAGGTCTGCTCCCTTCCTTTTCAGGGTGTCTGAGTGGAGGGTCCAGGCCCCTCAGCCCCAGAGGGCCCGGGGGGCATGTGGTCTTCTCAGCTTAGGTGGGACTGCGGGCCTGAACCCGGTCTGCTCAGCTCAGGTAGGGCCCCCTCTCAGTCCAGGGGTTGCCTGGTGCCCTCAGTTCTCTGAGGTGCGACGGCAGACTGCTTCCCACTCCAAAAGAAGCTGGAGAAGTCCACAGTGAGGGGGGAGTTCCCTCCTATCTGATGACTTCAAGGGCTGTAGTGGTGGCATTAGGGCTGCACCACCTCTCTGGGTTTGAGGCTTGCTGGGTGACCACAGCTCGAGTATCTCAGGGACGAAGAGGCTGGAAGTCAGAATGGAGGGTGAGAGAGGCCTCACCATGAGCGGCAACCTGCCAGGCAGGTGTGCTCCCTATTTGTGAAGCTGCTTGCTGATTGTGAAATTGCTTGCTGATTGATGCAGTGCATTTCTTGAATTTTTTTACTTGGATCTTTTTACTGTGTTCCTGCTGGAGGCCCTGTTTTGATCAAGGTTTCTAATTTATTCTGTCTTGTGTTAAAACCTCATTAAAGAAGGCCTTGGTGCCTGAAGGCACTGTAAGTACATGAGGCAAGGATGGAGAGAGAGAGGAGAATATTATTTGTAAAAATGGGAGCTCTGCCATGTTGACATCATGCTGATGAGCCTTCCTGATGAAGGGAACCTTTCTTAGCAGAAACACAAACTGTGATTCCCAAATAATTTCTCACTCTTTTGTCTTTCACATATCAACCCAGAGGCAACATGCCTCCACATGTTTCATTACCTCTTAATGAAAACTTGTGACACTTCTAAATTAAATAAATCAAAGTATGTGGATCATTTTCAAGACTTGAAGGTATTAATGAATACTACTTGACTGCTCAGAGTTAACGGTATCCTTAAAAGGCAGTGGATTGTTAATAGCACCTTCTACAGACCTGTTCTCCATGTATACTATTGCTTCTCTCAACACCTGTCAAGCTTGAATAGGTGCTGCTTTTAATTAAATAATTATTGAGTTCTCTTGAACTGAACATATGGAAGAAAAACATACTCTGTGGGTGATGACAACTTAAAAATGCTTCCCATCTTCTGGTTGCTGCTGCTCTGCGTTGTTCAGTGGTAGTTAATTGGTGTGCTAAAAATGGGTGGCCTGGGACTTAGATTTAATAGCAATTCCAGTCTGGCTGTAAGGAGTGGTTGACGAATTACAGGCTTTTTAACTGGGGCAGCGGGGCACCCTGTAAAAAATACTCAGACAAAAATGATCCATATCCTTGATCTCCAGCTTGTTTGGAGTTAAAAAAAGGCGGTGTAACACCATCAAAAAAAGCCCAACCCCAAACTAAGAGAATTGTACATGGCCATTTTTGTTGAACATGACATGAGATCCTTCTCTTGTGGTGTGGTTCACAGAGACACATGTTGTGCAAGAAGGATTTTTAAGGCTTCACAATGAGGTAGATCCAAAGTGTTCTTTGTTGAAATAGAGCAGAGCACCTGAATGCTATTTCAGTCATAATTCAAGTGCAGCATATCAAAGCCAAAGGAACATGGAAAAAGTGCTCCAAAGTAGAGGTGAGCTTAAAATAAGCTCAGAACTGAGTTTTGAGAGGTGGGTTGTTGGTGGGTTGTGTGTTTAGTGGGATGATTATTTTGGTTTGGTTTGTTTTCTTTATTTTAGCAATCAAAGGTTCATGAACTGAGACCCCATGTACTGTCAGTGTTTTCATAGAATCATAGAATGGTTTGGAATGCAAGGGACCTTAGAGCTCATCCAGTTCCAACTCCCCTGCCACAGGCAGGGACACCTTCCACTAGACCAGGTTGCTCAAATCCCCATCCAACCTGGCCTTGAACACTGCCAGAGATGGGGCAGCCACAGCTTCTCTGGGCCAGTGCCTCACCACCCTCACAGGGAAGAACTTCTGCCTAATATCTAATCTAAATCTCCCCTCTGTCACTTCAGAGCCATTCCCCCTTGGTCTATCCCTGTAGGCCTGTCGTGGTTTAAACCCAGTCAGGTAATTCGTTCGCTCACTTCCCCCCCTTTCTTGCCCTCCCCCTGCTCTCGGAGGGACGGAGAGGAGAATCAAAAGAATGCAACTCCCACGGGTTGAGATAAGAACAGTTTAGTAGCTAAGGTATAACACAAATCACTACTGCTACCACCAATGATAATAATGATAAAGGAAATAACAAGGGAAGAGAATACAACACCTCACCACCAGCTGACCGATAACTCGCCCCCCAAACCCGACCAAGCTCCGACCGATACCTCCTCCAACCCTGCAGTCTCCCAGCCCTTCCGGCTAACTCCCAGTTACATCCTGGGCATGACGTGCTGTGGTATGGAATAGCTCTTTGGTCAGTTTGGGTCAGGTGTCCTGTCTCTGCTTCCTCCCAGCTTCCCCTCCTCCCTGGCAGAGCATGAGGCTCACAAAGTCCTTGGCCAAACCAAAACATCCTTGTTATCAGCTCTGTTCCAGAGCTGAAATCAAAACACAGCACTGCACCAGCTACCAAGAAGGAGAAACATGACTGCTACTGCTGAACCCAGGACAAGGCCCTTGTAAAAAGTTCCTCTCCAGGTGAAGGCTGCCTTCGAAGTTGGGGAAGGCTGCTGTAAGGTCTTGTCCTCAGAGCCTTCTCTTCTTCAGGCTGAACAAGCCCAGCTCTCTCAGCCCTGTCTCTGTAGCAGAGGTGCTCCAGCCCTTGGAGCATCTTTGTGGCCTCCTCTGGACTCACTCAAGCAGATCCATGTCCTTCTTGGGGGTCCCAGAGCTGGATACAGCACTGCAGGTGCGGTATTACAGGAGTGGAGGGGCAGAATCCCCTCCCTCAACCTGCTGGTCATGCTTCTTTTGATGCAACCCAGCATATGGTTGGCCAGCCCAGCATATGATTTTCTGAAGGATTTGGTGTTATTGGAGGTTTTTTTTCACCCAGGACACCAGCAAGCAGATAGGGGCAGGCAGCCTTCCAAAGGCTGATGTACTGCATAACTCGTGTGCTGTGGATTGGAAACTCTGGCTTTTAATACATTTTGTATTCCCAAAGTGTGTGGCATCATTCAAGTTAATAATTAAGTTTTCCCTGTCTCGCCCTGTTTGCTCCCCAAAAGGCTGGGGGAAATGCAGCAAACTGAAAAAAGTGTGAAACCTACTGGCTTCTTGTGGCACTTTCATCCCAAATATATTGTATGCTTTTGAAAATCTACTTAGCAGAGGCCGTGTTTGGTGCCGGTTAGTTGTGCTTGTTTTCTGTTGATAAAATGAACATATCCTAATAAGCTACTAGGTGTAACAGGGAAACCCTGTGCTTTGTATAGCTCTTAACATAAGTGAATATTTAAACATCCATGAAACTACCACCTGAGCTTTGTTCTTATAGCTCTTAACCAAGAGCGTCAAAAAAAAGTCTAATTTAGGAGACTACAACAACTCTCTTAAAGAAACGCAGCTTTTAAAATGTAGTTATTGCTGGTGCTGGTCTTTATAGTTCACTCATCCAAATCACAGGAGCAAGACTTGGGTGAAGCAGAACGTCCTGTTGATGCTTCTTTCATTGGTCTGTGGAGTGCTGCCCTGGTATTCAATTGCACATCTGTATTCAAAGAAGAACATTAATAAATCTTTATTGTAAAAGCATCTTCACCAACCATAGGTTTTGCTTGTGCTAATTTGTTTATATTTAAGCAAATTAAAAAAAAAAAATCTCCTTCTGCTTAATCATCACTCTAGAGGTTTTTTTCTCAGACTTCCCAGCATGGTCTGCCTTCTGTCTCCCTGAGTTTTTGAAGCTCTTTGGATGTAGCCTGCTTTATTTAAATGGAATTAAGGTGAAGCATATTGCCACATGTAAAAAAGACTTAAAGGGATCCCTGAAGCCCAGTATCTTGGGTTTTTCTAATGCAGGAGGCATAGCTGTGTGAAAACTTGCAGCTTTCTTGGGAAGTTGGTGAGGTGCAGGAGTGCAATGGGGAGGCACAGTAGCAGAATTCCTCATTGGGCTGGCTTCTTGGGGTCCAGTGTTGTGTCCTTAGCCGTTTGGGACGCAAGGCTTGGAAAACTTAGTGCTTCTGTGGGCATCAGTTAGTGTGGGACTACAGAATGGTGGTGAGTGGGGCTGTGTTGCCTAAGCCTTCATCAAAA